CAATAAAATCTGGTAACTATTCTTATTGATCTATCATCGCAAAAAAAATCATTAGTTCCAATCCGAAAAATATGCCTGCCGGTTAATCGATATTAAAGCAACATTGAGAAGTCTTGAATGATTTTGCTGATAACCTTTCTTGTTCATTTTATTCATGTCATCATATGAATATTAGAAGCATCGCAATAAGAGAAGAATTGAGTTCAACTCCTCTTTTTTAGTTCAGTATTGATTGGCGACATATATATTGATTTCTTCACAGAGAAACTGAGGCCATCTTAAAATAATCCGATGGACAAGGTTCTTAGGTTACGTTCTTTTCTTTGGTTGTTACGCTCAGTAAAGGCATTTTCCAAAAAGTCGATAGACAGAAAGTACAACAGTGTACATATGAGCATCAGTAGGCATTCTAGCGCTACTGTTTTATTATTCCACCTTAGGGGGTTCTACCTTGGAATTGGGTGCAATTCTGGGAAAGGGAAGTCATAGAACTGGGGCTACGCAGCGCGCAGCCAATGGAAAATTACTACAGCGAAATATAGGAAGTGGCTATTACAAGAAGAGTCAATTTCCGGTAGGACTGCCTTTGAACTCAGCAGCAGGTTGCAAGGGTAAAAGGCGGGAAAGGAAGGGTGAGATTTAAAAGCATCTGATAACGGAAAGAAAGTGCAAATCTAACGACATCATTCGCCTGTTGTTCGATTCTCTCAACAGGAGGAGGGAGAGGAAAGGGAAGGGAAAAGGAGAGCAAGAAGAGCAAGAAAAGGAGGAAGAAGAGGATGGAAAAAAGAAGCGCGTATTAAAAAGAAGACGAGGGACAAGGGAGAAGAAAAAAAGGAGGGAGAAGATGAGGAGGAAGAATAACAAAAAAATGAAGAGAGTAGCAAGAGAACGAGAACAGAAGGGTGAGAAATAGTAATAGGAAGAGGAGGGGGAACAGAAGTTGAACAAGGGTGAAGGAAAGGAGGAGAAAGAATAAGAAGAACAAAAAAGAGAAGAGGTAGGAGAAGCAGGGAGGAAGCGTGAAAAGAGGGGTAGGAGGAAGACGAGGAGAAAGAAGGGAAGGGTAAGAGGAGAAAGAAAATGGGGAAGAGGAAAACGGAAAAAGAGAAGAGAATGTGAAGGAATAATAATAATAATAATAATAATAATAATAATAAAAGAAGAAGAAGAAGAAGAAGAAGAAGAAGAAGAAGAAACAAACAAACAAATAAAAGAAAAGAAAGAAAAGAAAAAGGAAGACGAAGAGAAGAAAAAAGATGACGGAAAAAAGGATGGGATCAAAATGAATAATATTAAAAGAAGCAAGAACAAGGGAGAAGAAAAAGTGATGGAAAACGAAGAGGAGGATGTGGATGAATAACAAAAAAAAAGCGTAGTGGCAAAAAGAGGAGGAAGGAGAGTAAAGGGGGAGAAAGGAATAAGAAAATCAAGAAGTGGAAGAAGAGAACGAACAAAAGAGAGGATGTGAAATATTAAGAAGAAGACGAAGAAGAAGAAGAAGAAGAAGTAGGAGGGTGATAAAGAAGATCAGCCTCAGAGTAAGAAGAGAAGGATGAAAAAGATGAAGAAGAGGAGGAAGAGGAAAATATTGTGACTCATAAAAATAATGAATGTTATGGGAAGAGAAGGAAAAAGAAAAGTAAGAAAAATAGAAAGACATGAACGAGGAAGATGAATCATTGCTGCCGTTTTAGGCTGTTTTTGTTTAACGGCACATCAACACCTATATGGTCAATTTAATGCCGAAATCTAAATATGTGCATGCATTTTTTTTAATTTTAGAGATAATGGTCTTAGTGCGACAAGTCTTATTAATTAACCCAAAGCTAAAATCATTTGGGCACTCCGATGTTGCGTAATGATTAACAAGATTGTCTCGCTAGAACATTTACGACTTGATGCCCCTTACTTTAGGCCTTGTGTCAAATCTAAAAAACGTTTAAAAATCACCATAGTTAAAACCATTTGGGCACTTCGACGTGGTGTGATGGTTAACAAGCTTGTCTCACAAGAGCAATTGCTACTGAATAGTTAGTTCGATCCTCACTGGGGGGCCCAAACTGTTGGCCTTGTGCCGCACGTAAGATACGCTTAGAAAATCACCATTACTTACCGAAAATTCGCAAGCTTGTCTCTCTAGATCAATTATGACTGAATAATGTGTTCGATCCTCACTAGGTGTCCCATCCTTTCGGCCTTGTGCCACATCTGAGAAAATCACCATAGTTAAAATCAGAAATGGTTTTACTTTCTAGGAATCATAATGAACAAAGAAGTAATTTAAACTTTAACACTTATAAGACTCTTTGCAGGAACGAGAGATAGATGGAAATAATGAACAACTTACCTAATTTTAGCTGGATAGACATAAGCGTTGAGCAAAAGGGAGTGTTAAAGATGTAAACGCTGTTTACAGTCAAAAGGAGAATGGAGAGCCGTGATCTTCCACATCTTGAAGGAACCTAGCAAATAAATGATGACGTTGATGATCACTGTATATAAGAGGTGTTTTGAATAACGATTGGCACTACTTGAAATAGAAATGGCGCATTGTGTTCACATTAAAAAAATGATAATATTGGAATATTTACGAGGATGCGATATTGGACTAACTATAAAAAGAACAACATAATTCTAAAGTGAGTTTCAATTTATGCTAATAATGACAAATTCTTTGATCTCGAAAGAAGTCGATTACACTGGAATATTAGCTGTCAAATCTTTAGATATAAATTAATGGCTGATTCTGTGAAAGAAGCTGGCTGAAATGGCTGTACTCAATCGACTTCTAGAATTATTTTTTGTAATATAACTGACATTAAGCAGATGTGCTCCTTCCTTATATCTCAATAGATTAGATGTAAAAAAAGATTGCTGCCATAGCTTGTCTGTTACTACACAATCCTAATTCTCAGCCTTAATATATTTCAAAATCGCTTGCGCGATCTTATGGTAGGATACGTCTCCCACAATGCCACCACTTTCCCACAGACAAATTTGCAACCCGGCTGCTAATCTCTCATTTTTTTTCCATGTTCAGATGAACTCCTTTGTTTAGTTCCACCAGTTCAGACCTTTACTGCTATGACACGCCATGTTACTTCTGCAAGGTCGACTCACCCTCATTTCTCCCATGTTCCCAGTTTAGAGAGAATGCTCCAATAGAAAAGGCTCCCACGTAGGTGCTCTCCTTGAAATGAAAAGTCAAATCGTTATCTATCCTCATTCAACTCGTAACCTTTATTTCCTACCACCTCTCCTTCCACTAATATCACACTTCATTTATCATAACAACTTTAGTATTAAAGCTCTACCTTGAGTGGCTCTTGAAATTTCTATTAGAAAAAACAAAAGCACAAGAAGAGAAGCGATCAGTGTTTTAGTGTAACTGAAGTTGCTAATCTTGTTTTTTTTTATACGCTCACTGTGCTAAGTTGAAATTTGAAATGCTAATTTTCTAGGCGATCAGGATTTTACAATTGTAAAATTGACGTTCCTATTTCCTTCTGTTTGGTCTTGTGCTGTAGTAAGTGAAGTTCTGTAAAGATTAAAATGCCGGAACTCTACCCCATGAACGATAAAATGACATATATCTTTTTAATACAAGGGATTATTGTTTCAAGGGTATAAAAGCCAAGAATGTTGATAGCAATTTTCGAATATCCTCTTTCTATTTGTCATTTTTTACCTTATGCAAAACTAATCTTATCAGGTATTTAAATGCATGTATTTTTTTTCAATCTCGATCACCCCAAGTAAGGCAGTAAAGCCACTAAGACACAATGGCTACTGGAGAAGCATTATTAAGAAGCGAGAACAAAAGAAAAATTATCAGATGGACAGTAGATAGAAGCTGTTATTGCATTTAAACTTTACTTATTGTTAGTCAGTTAAGTGTCATGCGTGATACACGCTTAGGCGATCATGTATCTTTCGATACATGACTGAAGAGGCAGATTTTTCCCGCAGTAGGTTGCCGTTTCTTACTGCAGTAGACCAGTTGCCATCCAAGACTATAGAACCCGGTCTGTCCTGCTATTTATCCATGGCTGGGGGTGGAAGAGGATTCATACCTTTCCCAAGGGTATTAGCACGTCAGTGAATGTAATGGATTTTGAATGGAATTCGAACTCGGCTCTCCAATTCCTCAATCCGAGCCACCATCCATTTCTAATATGATGATTTTCTAAGTGTAACTTAAATGTGACAGTTATGTACCATGCGTGATACACGCTTAGGCGATCATGTATCTTTCGATACATGACTGACGAGGCAGATTTTTTTCCCGCAGTAGGTTGCCATTTCTTTCTGCGGTAGACTAGTTGGCATTCAAGGCTTTAGAACCCGGTCTATTCTTTCTATTTACACATAGCTGCGTGGGGAAGGGGGGAGAAGAAGAGGATTCATACATTTCCCAAGCGTATTCGCAAGTAAGTGAATGTAATGGATTCCCTTGCGTGCTAAAACTCTTAACTATTGTACATCTTCCTATAATAAGCATTTATTTCCTCTTTCGATATCCGACGTCGATAAAACAACTTAACAACCCATGCAACCCTCTAAATTAAGTGGCTTTGGGGCTTTATATTTGGTGAACATTTAGTAAAACAAAAAATTCTGAAGCTCTACGGGGCTTATGGTGACATGTTTTTTGGTCGAAATCATTGCTGGACACGAAACATGCTTCAGATATAAGATAAGGAATCAGAAATTCTACGAATTTTTTGACACGCGGATATTCCATTTAAGATGAACACTCTTTCTGTTTTTTTGGGGGGGGTGTTAATAGTGGTAAAGTTCTATCCCTTTTTTTCTGTTTATAATTTCGTTTTATTTTATTTTTTTAATTCGGCGCCAGCTTTAAGTTGTCCTCATGCTAAATAGGTTGATGGTGAATTGTCCTATGCCTTAGTTGTCAGGGAGACGATTTGGGTGGTGTTGAGTCGGCGGTACTGAAATCGGGGTGATGAAATATCCCATCTCGCCTATCTATACATGTTGAAACACAGGTTCCCGTACAATCACCGAAGTTAAACAACGATGAGCCCGGTCAGTACCCAGACAGGTGACCGCTTGGGAATTAAAGGTTCTGTAATAAGATTCCATGTGCTGTTGGTGTAATGGATAATGGCTCGGAATTGTTTATCAGAGATCCGAGTTCCAAAGCCAGTTTGATTCGGTATATTAACTAACGCACAAATACCCCTTAGATAGGTAAGAAACCACTTCTTCTTCTTCCCCCTCAGCTTTGTTTCAATTCATAAGTCTTGTATCACGAAGCCATTATTATATTCAGCGGTTAAACTGTTGATTCGTTTTCTAAATGTTATCAAACCTTTGCAGGTTATTTAAAGAAAACAAATATTTTAAGATTGTAAGAATTTATTGGAGATAATAACAGTTTAGTGATACAAAACTTACTAATCAAAGTAGAATCCAGTAGGGTTATAAAAACCTCGGGGAATTCCAGTAAGATGTCTTTAATCATTTCAAAGATACAACGGCTCAAAGCTTCATCTAACAACTGGACAATTTTTCTGTTACACGACTTGGTCAATTATATATATATATATATATATATATATATATATATATATATATATATATACATTAACCCATCGATAAGCGGAGATTTTTATATATATATATATATATATATATATATATATATATATATATATATATATATATATAATATATATATATATTATAATGTTTTATTAATTAACCCATAGCTAGAGGGAGAAGAGATGGATCCATAATTATGTCGGAGAGTTATGCGTTAGGGAATATAACAAACACAACGGTGAGGGAACCGCTGCTCTCCGGTTAACAATTCTGAGCCATTATTCATCTCAATAACTGCACAGGATATTTATTTAAGCCCTAAAACCGAATCAATCACTGAAATTTGAATTCTACTTATATTACGTGGGCAGGAGCTGCGCAGTCTTCACTTCCCAGTTTTGATATTATCCAAATGAGTAGTGGCTTTAAATAGCCTGAAATGGTTGACAAACTTCAGAAAATGAATGAATCAATCAATAAAAAATGGACTAAGACAGAGCTGTAACACTAAACAAAAAAAAACAACCTACAATGACTGACTTGGCTGTAATAAACCGGATGTAGCAGCAAAATTGTCCAAATCGTGTAACAACATGCGATGATTCTACATCATACAAAATATCTAAAAATCCACTACACTAATTGAGTTTATTTTTCCAGGTTTTCAGATAAGACGTTTACCCACGTTGACACCATTTGTGGTATGAATCACTGAAAAACCCTTTGAATTATTCAGTTATAAAGAAAACAGGTTAAAATTGTTCTGTGTCATCACTATTGTCTTCCCAACTGAGCAATGGTGAGAGAAAAATGATCATTCAGGCCTTCAGTAATAGTACCAGCATTCATACTCTGGCTTCCATCTTCAAAGTCTATTCAAGAACAATTAAGAGAACGGTGAATAGGTTTAAAAAAAGATGAAAGGGCAGAGAGGAAAACTGGATCAGGTAACAACAGGAAGAGGGATCATCATTTCAGCATAGATCTAAATACATTCTTATTGTTCAAAGTAGAGTTCAACAGTGTTATAAAAACCTCGGAGAATTCCAGTAAGATATCTTTCATCATTTCTAAGATTCAACGGTTCAAAACTTAATCTAACAACTGAACAATTTTGCTGTTACACGATTTGGACAATTTTACTGTTACAACCAGTATTTGTACTAAATTTTCCATCTGAATAGATAATAGAAAATGCTTTCTTTCTTTTTTTTTCATAAACCATACTTGCAACTGCATTAAGACGTTGCATTAATTTGAGATTGGACTGAAACGAAAATCTTGATTATTACAGTAAATGCTACCATAATAACAACTTCCGGAAATTGGAAAAATATCAGGATTTCTCAGTGAAATAGAAATATTCATGGAGGCGAAAATGAATAAATACATTCGAAAATAAATAAACAAATATCCACTAAAAATAAAGATTATATATATATATATATATATATATATATATATATATATATATATATATATATATATGTAACAAGTACGAAACATTATCGATCAGAACAAACGCACAGGATATTTAAGCCCCAAAAAACGAATCAGTCACTGAAATTTGAATACTATCTGTATTATATGGGCAGGAGCTGCCCAGTCATTACTTCCCAGTCTTGATAATATCCAAAAGCGTACTGGCTTTAAATAACCTGAAATGGTTGATAAGCTATAGAAAACGAATGAATCAATCAATAACAAATGAACTTAGAGCTGTAACACTAAAAAAAAAAAAAAAACAACCTGCCGAAATTGACTTGGTTGTAATATACCGGGTCTAATAGCATGCGATAACGTTTCGGCCGTTGTACGCTCCAGCCTTCTTCAGGTGGTTGGAATGTTGATTTGAACCCTAGGAGAACGGACCAGTATTCCAATAGATAATCTAATGGAGATGTTGACTTTCTGTACACAAGCAACACATTTCGGAATGGGATCACACATATATTGACAAGATGAGGGCTTAGCAATGGGCTCGCTATTATCAACAGCAATGGCGAATATATACATACATGGAATTCTTTGAGGAAATTGCATTAGAATCTATATCTCTAAGACTACTTCTATGGTTAAGATACGTAAATGAGACCTTCATACTCTGGCCACACCAGGAAGATGTCCAGGTACTACTGGACCATTTGAACTCGATACAGTTCACAATGAAGAAAGAGAGCAAAAACACACTCCCATTCCTGGATGTTCTAATATCTCGAACAGAGCATACTGCAAACCGACATTTACCGGAGAGTACCACAATTTCAACTCCCACCATCCATACAACTTAAAGAAAGGGATCGTCCGCTCCGTTGCTTACAACACCGAGCAAAAGTCATAAGTGGTGACCCAGAGACATTAGATAAAGAATTGGTCAGCATAAGCAGTACCCTACAACGTAACAACTACCCTGGGTACATGGCAGCAGCTCGAATAAAGTGGGATAGGCGGGTACAAGAGGTGGACAACACTCAGAAAACAATCTGCCTGCCTTATGTGAAGGGATACTCAGAGAAAATACAAAGGACCCGCGGCCCATATGACATCAGGACAACTTTCAAAAGCTGGACGACACTTCGCAGATACCTCGCCCGAATAAGACCCCCATAGAGGAGAACATGACTAAAGACTGTGTGTACGATATCCCGTGCAGCTGCGTTAAGAAATATAAAGGGAAAAGAGGCCTCCCCTTTAAGGTAAGACTTCAAGAACACCAAAAAAGCTTTAACACAAGTGGAAGTGGAAATTTCAGGCATGGCTGATCACATATGGATCAGGTTGAAATCATAGACAAAGAACATCATTGGAAAATTCGTAAACTTAAGGAATCAGCACATATGTTAGGCCACAAAATCTCCTGAGCCGACCAAGCATAAAAAAGAATACAATATGGGAATCAGTAATAAGAAATGCCAGCGAAAAGCGATAATAACAAAATAAATTGCAATATGAGCTCTGGTAAAAATGTTTGCTGAAGACATTAGGTCTATAAATCCCAGAAATTCATACACATATGTCGTCAAGGACACATGAAACGTTGGATAAAGGCGTTAGATCCAATGACAGGACCCAAAGAGTATGAGTTCAATACCTATTTACGGCACGTGGAACTAGAACAGTTTACACCAGCGAGGGAAATAAAGGGTTCAGTTCAACATTCCAACCACATGAAAAAGGCCGGAGCGTACAACAGCTTAAACGCTGTGATAAATATGGCAACAAAGACAAGGACGATAGCCTGAACAATGTAAATAGTATACAAAATATGTCATCTCAGAAATATAGGCTGAACATGTGATTATTATCCTCCCTACAAAATGTTTAAAATCTCAAAATCCAGTAAACTGAGTTTCTTTTCCCAGGTTTCAGATAAGATCTTTTCCCACGTAGACACCATTTGTCGTACGAATCAGTGAAAACCTTTTGAGTTATTTAGTTAGAAAGAAAAAGGTTAAAATCGATTTGTTCCAGCCTCACTGACTTCCCAACTGAGCAATGGTGAGAGTAAAAATAGCATTCAGTAATAGTACCAAACCTCATACTCTTGCTTCCATCTTCAAAGTCCATGCAAGAACAAGAAAGTGAACGGAGAAATAGTTTTAAAAATAAGGGACAGTCGAGAGGAAATCTGGACCAGGAGGTCACAATAGGAAGTGGGATCATCATTTAAACATGGATCTAAATAAATTTTTATTGCTCAAAGTTGAGTCCAATAGTGTTATATAAACCTCGAAGAATTCCAGAAAAATATCTTTAATCAATTGTAAGATACAACGTTTGTATTGGATATGAGAGTTTCCAGCTGAATAGATAATAGAAAATCGTATCTTCCTTGTTTTTTCTTTCTTTTTTTTTCTTTCAAAGATATCGCTTAAAATTGTATTAAGCATGGAATTTGAGATTGGACTGAAAAGAAACTCTTCATTATACCAGTAAATCCGATCATACCTTCGAATTCCGGAGGTCATTTCTTTTAAATAAAAATGAAATTGTAATGATATCTGGATTTCTCAGTGAAATACAAATATTCATGCAGACGAAATAAATAAATACAATGTTTAATTAATAAATGTGTATCCACAAAAATAACGTTTAAAATATATATATATATATATATATATATATATATATATATATATAGATAGATAGATAGATAGATAGATAGATAGATAGATGGGATAACGATATAGGCATTTTTATAGAAATATTTATATACCAATAAATGTGTTGAAAGAAAATATATCTGAAAAACTTATTAAAAGCTTTGGGGCGCGTTTCATCCGGATGACACGTTGTAAAAAAACATTCCCCATATATATATATATATATATATATATATATATATATATATATATAAACAAACACACAAACACACAAAAACACACACAAACACATACACACACAAATATATATATATATATATATATATATATATATATATATATATATATATATATATAGCGTCCATCTTCAAAGAACAATCAAGAGATATATATATATATATATATATATATATATATATATA